CCAATTCTATTTTGGGGGTTCCTTACTATAAACTATAATTATAGTTGCACGTCAAGAGGCCACCCGTTTGTGGTGCTCCCCAGCACAAGGCTGAGTTTTTGTTTTAAAACAACCTTAGAATGCGGGGGGGGGGGGTGCAACCAGAGTAGGACCTGAAGAAGAGCCAAAATACTATTCCATAGTGTCCCATGTCACAACTATAGCTAAAGTATAGGAAAGGTCAGAAACCTATTTCGAGGCCGCAGGGCATCCCCTACTGTCAGAAGCCGCAATATGTGATCATTACCTTGATGTATGTTTCTTGAACTCGCACATGCGACGAAGATGAGAATGTCTTCCGCATAGCGCTCCTACCATAGCTTTTCGGCATTGTGTGGGTGTTTGCAATCCTGTTGCCTCTTTTGCAACAACACATAATCATACGGACTTAGCACAGTCCACAGGTGATTGTCAAGCAGATGAACAACCTGCAGGCCACAGAGACGTTGCTCTGAGCTTCAGCCAATCGCAAAGCCATATAAGCGTTTAAAAGCATTTGGTTTCCTTCAGAACATAGAAGGCGTAAACCCTCGAAGCCCAAAGCCACTCCACCCTTCCCCGAACCCTTAATCGTGCGAGATCTTAGAAGACCCGAATGCTAGAAGGGAAGTATCCGGGAAGGAAGCACAACCTTTAATCTTTACACCCGTGCGTTTGCATACAAGGTTTGGGGTTTAGGGTCGAGGCCTTGAGGTTTAGGGTTCAAGATTTCTGCAGCCCCACCAGCCCAAATCTAGGTGTACGTGAAGGCCCAAAGGTACTCAGAAACAGTGATTTCGGGGGTTGGGGGGGGGGGGGTGCATGTTGGTAAGGAGGCTGTAGGAGTTCCTGATCTTCCCCTGCGACATGGGAGTTTCCGAAAATTAGGGGTACGTTGTTTCTGGGTTCCTTATAATAAGGATCCTATTATTTAAGGTACTATATTCGGGTCCCCTTTTTTCGGAAACCCCTACATGGCCGACGGAGGCCTGCTTTGAGCACAAAGCTTCCGTCGGTCAGGCCTCCGGCGATTATAAGAGCAGTGGAAGAGCAGATGGCGCGGCACGCTGGGGCTGGCAAGGGTTTAGGGTTTAGGGTTTAGGGTTCAGGGTTTAGGCGTGGCACTGGCCATCAGGCGAGTTCCATCTTCAGATCGTGGCCTGCAGAACCACTTGCGCGATGTCTGGCTTCGACCTGATCGTGACGATGATGTTCCACTGATGTAGACAATTATATAGGGGCCTTAACAATTAGAACAGGGTTTGGGGAAAATTATACTATGATTATAACAGGGAACGCCAAAACCCTTTTTCTAGTTATTACGGCCCCTACATTAGGCCTAAATCGTGAGCCACACCGGGACCTTGCGCTTCAACGGCGGTCAGCCCGCAATTTGACGTTTTGGGGCTCTGAGCTTAAGGGTGTAGCTCGGCCCTATGACTTCCTTTTTTAGGGTTTAGGGTTTAGGGTTTAGGGTTTAGGGTTGAGGACTTGCATAACGAAGTCATAGTAAGGAACCCCTGAAACGGTTTAGGGTTTAGGGTACAGAACCCCTAAGAAGGTGGGTTTTGGGGCTCTCACATTGGGAGAAGATAAGAGACTTAGCTGTAACACTACAGATAGAGTGAAAGTTTCACGCAGCAGAAGTTCAGACACAACACAGACCAAACTCAGCCAGACATCTTCTCCTCATAAACGCACGAACGAACTTCGTCGCTATCACAATATCGGAATGTTCATTGTAGATATATGCTTTCTCTATTCTGGAAGCTCAACTCAGTTCAGTAGCAAGAGCCCGGTAAGCCAGCCCCAAACCCTCTAAGCCCCGGAAACCTAAACCTACATCTCTAAACCCTAGAAGCCATAAGCCCCAAACCCTTTAAGCCTCATATTATTAACCCCAAACCCCCAACCTTAATACCCCTAAACGCTAAAACCCCAAACCCGAAAACCCTAAACCCTGAACCCTGAATACCTCCAAACCCTAAAGGCCTGAAGCCCCAAAGCCCAAAGTGCCATCTCATAGAGGGTGCAATTTCTATAAACCCTAAACCCAAAGCCCTAAACCCTACAACACCAAACCCCTAAACCCGTAAAGCCTAAACCCTAAAAGCCATAAACCCTAAACTCTAAAAGCCATCAACCCTAAATCCTAAAAACCCTAAACCCTAAAACCCTAAACCCTAAACAGGAAGCTTTCCTCGGGGAGGGAGATGAAGGCGCCAAGCAAGGCTCCTTCAAGGCGGGTGAAGGGTGAAGGGTTCAGGGTGCTGGTGTTCAAGGCTTTAGGGTATAGGGGTCTAGGGGTCTAAGGGTTTAGGATTTAGGGGTTTAGGGGTTTAGGGGTTTAGGGTTTAGGGATTTGGGTTTAGGGGTTTTGGGGCTTTGGGTTTAGGGGTTTAGGATTCAAGAGTTTAGGGCTTTTAGGGTTTAGGGGTTTAGGGTTTAGGTTGCCAGAACGGAGTTCCACAAGGTTGTCATAAGCGTTCCGTCATAGCTTTACATACGGATTTAGAGTGATTTCCTAGACAATGAAGGGTGTCGTCGTCAGGGGGCTTTGTAATGAACATCCCAGTATTTCTACCTTCCGGCGTATGTCATGTATTGAGGCTTAGGGGCTAGGGCTCAGAATCTGCAGGTTCGGGGCTCAGTTACTGCGCGATGGGTTGTATAGGGTTTAGGGTTTGGGGCTAGTGGCTCAGGGCTTGGATTTAGGGCTTTGGCCTTGTGTCTCAAGTTTCTCTATGGGCAGCCTCTGTGCCGGCCGGAATCAACAGAGATTGCGGTTTCGTTGCCAGAAGCCCGAATCAAAGCTTGGATGATAGACCAAAGCACTGCTGGAAGCAACGGAACCTTGGACTCCTAGGGCTAGTTGATTAATACAGGGTTGAACGGCTTTGTAACCCTAAACCCTAAACCCTAAACCCTAAACCCTCCAAGAGCAGCAGTGCAGCCCAGAAGCTTCAATACCCCAAACGAATTATGCCACAGGCCCTCAGCCCTAAGGCCCTAAATATATACCATGCAGAAGTCTAGGACATTTTCAGGTGGGTAGCTACCGTTATCGGAGCCTTATAGAAGGTCTATGTACCTTATAGACGCCTTATAGAAGCCCCTTTTTACCCTAAACTCCCCACCTGTAGTTTCCTTTAAAGACGAGGAAGCCGACATCGGGCCTTCGACCCCCAACAAGAGAAAAGACTTGAATATCCCTGAACCTAATTCCGGGGGTCCGAGCAAGGATCCCCACGGTTTAGGGTTTAGGGTTTAAGGTTTAGGGTTTAGGGTTCAGGGTTTTGGGTAACCCTAAACCCTAAACCCCATACACTGTGAACCCTAAACCCTAAACCCCATACCCAAAACCCGAACCCTTAGAATTCAAGGAGTATCATCTGCCTCAGTTAACCAATACTAAGCTCTATGAACCCGCTATGAGAACCGAGAAGCCGTGATAAAGCCGCGCAGACCGCAAGCCCCCAAAAGAACTCCGGAACGGAACAGAAGGGCCTGAAAACCAACAATGTAGGCCCCTACATTCCTGCATAACTTTCAGCTTATTCAAAACCCTAAACCCTAAACCCTAAACCCTAAACCCTAAACCCTAAACCCTAAACCCTAAACCCTAAACCCTAAACCCAATTCTAATCAGTAATGCCCATACGAGAGGCCCCACAGAAAGCCTAAACAACGCGAGGCGGCCGTCGGCTCCATGGTCGATCGGTTGGAGGTCCCTGTTGGTTTGAAAGGGTGGGTTTAGGGTTTAGG